TTTCTCATCATTTTCCCTTTCCCTTCTTTCCTTTCCCCTTCCCCTCCCTGTTTGGACCTTTCTTCCTATTTCACATTATCTATTATACATTTCGGTCCTCATCTACACTTTCAGTTTCTCACACCAAAGAAACTATTTGGTGTTTACACATGTTTTTTGTTGTGATAAAATATATACCTATTTTTATTGTGATAAAATATACAAACAGAGAATTTAGAAGTTTATGTCTTTTAAGTGTTTAGTCCACTAAGGTTCAGTATACCCATATAATTGTATAACTAATCTCCAGACATTTTTGATGCTCATTTAATAATTCCTATTTCTGAATCACTGAGGTCAGGGAACCATCACTCAACTTTCTATTTTTATCAATTTTATTATTCTCATATAAGTGGAATCATACAGTGTTGTGTCTTTTTTGTGGCTGGACTATTCCCATTAGGATAAATGTCTTAAAAATTCATCTATGTTCTGGCACATGTCAGAATTTCCTTGATTTTTAAAGATGAATGGTCTATGCCATATTCTATTGTCTATCTATGTTGTATTTTGTTTATTCATTCTTCCATCAACAAACCTTTAGGGTGCTTCCACCTTTTCATTATCATGAAAGATGTTGTTATGAATATGGGTATACAAATAACTGAGTCCTCACTTTCAATTTTTTTGAGTATACACTCAGAATGGAATTGATGGTTCATACAGTAATTCTATTTTTAATTTTTTAAAGCAACTACCATTTGTCATAGTAGCTGTACCATGCTACCTTCTCACTAACAGTACACAAAAATTCCAATTTCTCTACAGTCTTCATCATCAACATATTATTTTATGGGTTTTTAAAAAATAATCATCCTAATGGATGTGAAGTGGTAGTTATTGAAGTTTTGATAATTGGTGATGGTGAATATCTTTGCACATTGCTTATTGGCCATTTGTAAATCTTATTTGGAAAAATGTTTATTCAGCCCATTTTATTATTTGGCTTATTTGAGTTTTGTTCTTCAGGTGTAGGAATTTCTTATAATTTGTAAATATGTTCTATTCTATGGGTTTTTTTTTCACTTTTTTATATTCTTTGGTGCAAAAAAATTTTAATTTTGATGAATTCTTATCTTACTTATTTTTGTTATTGTTGCCTGTACTTTTGGTGTCATTTGCAAGAAATTACTGCCAAATCAAATGTCACACAGTTTTCCCCCAAGAATTTCATACTTTTCTTATATTTCAGTCTTTGATCATTTTGACTAAACTTTCGTATATGGTATAAGGTAAGAACCCAACTTCCTGTTTTGTTTGTGGATATTCAGTTTTTCTAGCATCATATATTGAAACACTGTCTTTTCCACATTGAATGGAATTGGCACCCTTGTAAAAAATAATTTGACCGTATATACTTAGGGTTTATTACTGGGTTTTCTAGTCCTTTCCATTGGTTTATATGTCTTCTTTATGCCAGTACCACACGATTTGTTTATTGTAGCTTTATAGTAAGTTTCAAATCAGTAAGTGTGATGTCTCCAACTTTCTTGTTCTTGTTGAAATTTTAACACAAAGGTAAATATTTTCCTTACTGTTTCATGCCACAGTGTGAGACATATGGAAAAATATTTGTACTCAGTTTTTTGAAAATTATTTTATAAAAAAGTGTCATGGACACAGTTATTAAAATTATTCAATATGAATGTGTAAGTGCTAAGAATCATTACCAAATTATGGAAACCTTGAAGGAAATAAGATTGTTCTTTGCTAGGGTTCATTGGTTAAATCAGAGAAAAGTTTTAAAAGATTTACTGTATTGATAATATAAAATTTCAAAATTGTCTTAAAACGAAAGCAATATTTGCCAAATATCTAATAATTGAAGAGAAAATTATAAGAGCCCAATTTTTTCACCGATATTGAAAAGCTTGCTTTTCTGTCTTACCAAAGAGATAGTAGAATTTATGCTAAATTAGAAACTTTTTATAATTCAACTTAATAACAATTAATATACTTTTCTAACATGAATCAATATGCAGCTTTTAATCTTAATAAAAATCATGTAAATTGGTTATAAAATTTACAAGAAAAATTGAAAAACACTAGTTTGGTATTAATACATTTAGACATGCTTTTCAACTGTTATTTGATTTTAATATAAATTGATATGAGGTAGTAAATATACTTAACTTGGATAGCAGTAGTTTTCACATTGATATGACTTTGCTTTAAAGATAAAGCAATTCTTCTAAAAGAGATAAAAAAGTATCAAAATAGATGGAAATAGAAGTGAAAATGATTTACTGTTAGTGAATTCAGTTACTGAAAACTTTATATACATTTACAAACATTTAGGGATATGAAATTTTTCTTGTAAATATACATTTTATAAAATCTAAAAATAGTTCAAGTGTATATGATATACATTTAGTTCTTGAGTTGGGACATTTAATAGGTATAAAATATGCACTACAGTTTGAAGGCTTAAGCCCCCAAAATGAATGTAAAATATCTCATTAATACTTTTTTTCCTAATGCTTCATATTGAAATGATAATTTGGGTGTAATGTGTTGTTATTTATTAAATTCACTATTATCATAGAATTAATCATTGCTACTAAATTAAAATATCACTTTGACCTTGGACCTTGTACCTAGTAAAATAGGTAAACTAATCTTACTTTAACTTAAGTCATTCACTGTAACATTTCCATCCAGATAGCTGCCTTCTAAAATACTACTTCATGAACCAGAAAAATGCTTTTCTTTGTTTAGACATAAATTTTCATAACACAAAGACTAAGTGGGACAAAAAATGTAGTTTTGTACCATAGCGCCAAAATTCAGGTGGCCAAAATTGTAAAAAATGATTTTTAAAGATTATTACCCAGTTAACGAAAGTACTTAAACAAATTATGAAGGGATCAAACATGAGTTTTACTGTTAAAACTTACCTATAACTACAATACAATCTCCTAAAAGGTGACTTGAGAATGATTATTTATCTTTAACTTCTTTCATTAAAATGATTAGTTTGACTACAAGAACAACATGCAACAATGAAAACATTAATCCATACCTCTCTGCTCTTGTCAATTTTAGGTGTCTGATGTATGTGTCCTCAAAGTAGTCATCGATCGTATTTCTTTTTGCCAAGTTTGCTAAAGAGTTATCAGGAAACTTAAAAAAATTGTTACACTGGAGGGCAAAATAAAATCAGAACATCATCATGAAAAACTAATAATTTTTGTTGAAAATGAAGAATTCAAAATTCAACTGCAAGAAGATTTGAAATTCGGTCACTGGATTAATTCATTTTATCAATATCAGCTCCAGTGTTTGAAATTATCTCTAGTTTTAATGATTGGAAGTTTTTACTCCCTAAAGCAAGCCTCATAGTAAGATTAGGGGTAAATGTCAAATTTGCTTTTCTTTCCTAAAGTTGTTTTAGAAATTTGTGAAATTCAAAGTGGGGAAAGGAGAATTGGCTTGACAACAAAGCCTTGCACAAATAATTAAAAATGCTTAAGGCAGCTGAATATTTGAAAATTGATTTCCTTACAACTATGGCTAGTGACCACTTAGGAAGTTTTCTTTTACCTACATGTCCCCTGGACTGAGAACAGCTGCTCTAGTCCAATGCTTTTGTTCCTTCTCTAGTTCAATGCTTTTGTTCCTTTTGCAAAATCATTCACTACATGGACATCCAGTTTTGTTTGAAGCTTTCTCAATTGGATAGCTACTTCCTGACAATATTCATTCCACTTTGAGATGTATCCACTTAAAATTATTCCTTAAATGTATTATTTGAGTCGACACAGTTTCTACTTCCATGTAATTTTCAATTGACTTTTGTATACTGAACATGTGCAATTCTTTTTCTCCCTTAAGATCTTTTAAACATTTGAACATAACTTTCATATTCCCTGAGTGTTTCCTATGCCAGAAGTCTGTCATCTTTACCAGCCCAAAGAATTTCAAGTTGGCTTATCAACTTAGTCACTTCTCTTTGAAATGCTTTCAATTTCTGAATGATTTTTTTTTAAAATTAGGGCTCACTACTAGATGTGGCCTGGCAAGTATGGGACTATCAGCTTTCCTGTTCTAAGCATTATAATTCATTTATGATAGCTTATGTTCATTTTTATCTTGCTGGCTCTATTGTACTGTCAACTCATAACGAGCTCAAAGTTAACTAAAATCCTAATCACTCTCTCCCTGATTCTATAAAATTATTTTCCAAATGTAAGATTATGATTTAACATCTTCATCTAATTTTCTTTTAATTTTGTTTCAGAAAGAGTCTACTGAATCTTTTTAACTATTTATGGTTTAATATTGGGCTATTCATCTTGGTTTTTATGCCACTTACTATTTTATATGCCATTGATGGTTATTCAAGTTATTAATAACACAGCTAAGTGAGGACAGACAGAGCTGTGCAGCACTATTTTAGGTGTTCTTTACTGATTGGCTTATTTTATATTGTTACAATCATGTTATAGTTTTAAAAAGCATTCCCTGGGAAAGAATATTTAGTACTGAACTCACCCATCTCAATTACCATCCCTTCTATCTTGCTTTATATGTTATCCTCAAATTCGTGTATACCTTCTAGGCAGTAAACCATCACAGTCTTTGAGAATTCTAACTTTGATTCTAGTTACCAGGGAAACTGTACTGAATATAACAGTGTTTCTACCCTGTTGATACTTAAATTCTAGTAGGAGAAAGACAATAAATAAATGACAAAAAATCAAGGTAACGTCTAAAAGTTAAAACACGTTAATAGCATAGAGTCACTAAGAGATTATCTTAGGTGAAGTATCTGAAAGGACATCTTTTAAGTAACTTTTAAACTGAACTTGAAAAACTAGAAGGTGACAGCCTTGCAAAAAATAAAAGTTAAGAAAAAAGTTAAAAGTGTCCAGGAAGAGTAAATATTGAACCAAGGGATTGTCCCAACTAGTTCACAATTTTAATTTTTTTAGGTCACCTCATTAGTTCTACCTTCCAGAAAGACAAACGTGTCAGTAACCAACCATGGACCAAATAGCTTAAAGTTGTATCTCTATATTAAGATGTAACCTCTTCTGGACTTTAAGTCACTAAGGATACCTCTATTCTATGGCTATAAAAGTCCCAAATTCCAAATAACTGATTTAAAAGCAGTGCAGCCACGCAGCTTTAAAACACCATACTGTTAATCATACAGAGAAAGAAAAAAAGTGACAGATTAATACAAATTTCAAACACAAATGAAAGGGGATAAATGGGAAATAAGGACATGCTCAGAGAACAGAAAGTAATTCAGTTTAGCTACCCCACCGGATATATGAGAATACCAAAATGTGAACAGAGGTTGGGAAAATGCTACTGAATACTTTTTATGCCAATTTAATGGGGTGGAGCTTAATTTTTTATGAAACTGGGAGCTATGAAAGTTTTTGAGGACAGTAGTGTCTGATATAGAATCTGAGCGTAGAATAGATATTGGAAGTAAGGAAACCAGTTAGAAAGCTAATAATTGCTGGAGCTCAAAAAATGAATTAATAAATGTTAAATATGAACATTTGGCAAGAGTACAATAAATAAAAAGTTTCCAGAAACTTTAATACATTGCTTGTACAGATGCAATTTGGAGGGTTTTTTTTTCCTGTTATAGAACTTGATGAGATTGGATTTTAGAGACAAGAGAGAAATGGTCAAAAGCACTTAAGGACTTATAGTTCTCAAGGATGGGAAAAGAGAAGCTACAGAAGTTCATTATGCAATTTCAAGCCTGATTGTCCAATATGATCTATTAACAGAAAAAGAGAAGGCAAGGAAACATGATGGAAAAGAGTAGGTGAGCAGACTCAAAGGTCCATGTGCTGCCCTGGCCTCATCATTCATGTTTTACACATGCTGTGTAACTTTGGGCAAACTTAAGTTTGGTGTAATGGGTGTAATTACCATGTAATACAGTGGTGATAGAGGATAATTAGAATAGATTACCTCAAATGCCTTTTTCCAGCTAGACAATTTTGAGATTTTAAGGCATTCTATGACTGTCAATCACATTATTTAAGCTTTTAATTTTGGAGAAATACCTTAAATTACACTTAAAGCAACTTGAAGGTAATGATTTTTGTCTAGCATATTAGTTTCTTCATAACTAATAAAATAAATCCTTATATATACATAACACATTTTTAATTTGTTAAAAAGACCCTCCAAGGCAAAATAAATGTCTGTATTATCAAACTATATTCCACAAAATTCACCCATTACACCCATATCAGTAATATACTACTGCATATTTTGCTGTATTCTTGCCAAATGTATTTGAATGAAGAAAAAGTAAACATGTTTATTGTACTTTTTTTTTTACTCAAGATTTCCATTGCATCTGTGCACATTTTCGATTTGTTTTTGTCATTTAGTATACAGTCTTTATGACTATATACTAAGGATAAATTTTCATCCTTTGTAAATTATAAAAATTTCATTATTTGCATTTTGTCCTGTGTACTTTGCAATGTACGAGTTGTAAATCACTTTATATATTTAACGCTTTTCTGTTCAATTCCATCTTTTTAGACTTGAAGTGACTTTAAACATTTTATTAGTACATAAAGTTAAAATGACTTAAGATACAAGTGCTCATTCATATTTTCTTCTAGTTTATTAGATATATGTAATATTGATCCATTAGCAATTTGATACACGATAAGTTTCTTCATAATGTGAGCATAAAGTAAAACAAATTTTTTTAAACATTTCAGCTGGCTTCCACTGTGAACTTTATTAGCTGACATAAGTTTTCTACCGTTAAGGTAATAGTTTATTTGCACAACAGTTTAACTTAATCCTTATTTTTCAATAATTTAGATTTTTTATTGCTCTTTGTTCCAATGAGAACTTCCACGGCAGTGCTGGGAACAGCGGTAATGACAGGAAAACTCTTATTTACCATTCTATCCTTTGGACTATACAGGTAGTCTCGTAGCGGTCAGGCTACGCTCCTTCTCGGCTGCAGTAGGCACCAGCCCTGTGGCGAGGTAGGTTCTCTCGCTATACCCGACACGATTCCTGGCTCTCCCGGACACGAGGGGCAGCCCGGTGGACCTGCGCTCCTAGCCGCAGAAACGCGTTCACCGCGGCCTGGAGGTCGCTCTCCGCCCTCTGCCGGCCGCTCCGCAGCGCTCTCCTCCCGCCCCCTGGTGGCCGGCCAGCGTGACCACCCAGGGCACGGCCGCTGACCCCATCGCGGGCGAGCAGAGCGCTGGGCAGGTCTAGTGGCGTGCTCCAAGCCCCGAGCCCCGAGCCCCAGGCCGGCGGCTTCACCGCGGACACACGGCGCGGCCTGGCACCCTCCCGCCATGAAGCGGGTGCTGATCGTGGGCGCCGGGATGACAGGAAGCCTGTGCGCCGCCCTTCTGAGAAAAGTGTCCGGTACTCTCTACCTCGCCGTGTGGGACAAGGCTGGCGACTCAGGTGGGTTGTCTAACAGCCAAAACCTAAGTGGCACGCGAGGCCCGACTCTCTAGGATGCCTTGGCCCACGCCACAGGAAGACCGGAGAAAAGGCCGACTGTTGCTCCCAAAAGGCCGGGAGGCGGCTCATGCGCAGTGGCGCCCCGTCCTCACGTAAAGGGAGACTTCCGCGCTGGAGTTGGCGGGAGTCCAAGAAAGGGGCAGCCCGGGCACTGGCTCTCGCAAGGAAGAGTTGGGGGCCTCTGTGGAGAGAATCCAGGCCCGCGGAGTTATGGGGGAGTGTGGAAAACGGGAACTTACTTCTCTCTCTAATAAAGGGATTTTTGCGTTGGACTGTCTAAACTATTGCAACCTTCTCCAGATCTGAGCATCCCAATGTGCGCTTGTAGGGCGACTTTCCCAAAATCTAGTTTACAGAATTCTGTCATTCTCGAGAAGCTCGACTGCATGAAAGCTCCTTCGTTGACTGATTCAGTCTGGCACTCCATCCATCATTTTACTTATTCATTCATTAGTGCCTTTTTTTCAAGTAAACAAATATGTGCACCAGTAACAGTGCGAGACACTGGTGTTTTACTCCTGAGTCTGTATGTCCTTCCTCATTCATTGCCTTCCTTCTTTCTTCCTTCTCTCTCTCTTGTAATCTCACAGTGATCAAGTTGTCTCTGTTAACTACTTCGTAACAATGTTAGATGACAAAGACTTCAATTTAAGACCTCTTCTTAATGTAATTGAAAAAAAATTACAGTAAAGGAGGCCATGAATTGTTATTCTAATGCGCTGACAATTACCTATGCGTTAATTTAAGGGGGAAGAATGACCACAGCCAGCAGTCCTCATAACCCACTCTGCACAGCTGATTTGGGTGCTCAGTATGTCACCTGCACTCCTCATTATGCCAAAAAACACCAAATGTAAGTTAGTTCCAGGAACAGAATAAATCTTGGAATTTGTATTTTTTAACACAGTTTAAAACTTTGTGTTTTTTACTGAAATTATATTACCATTGTTGATAGTATTAGCAGCAAAAGGTTAACCTGAGTAAAGTAGGAAACTAATAACCAGAGAATTGTTGGGAAAATTAGTTGAGGAGGTATATGAAACAAATAGAAGCCTCAAGAAATTTTAATTGCTGTTAGGGTTGAGCACAAGTTTAAAAGTGGTGTGCTAAATAATATTTCTATTTATTTTCTTTGACTTTAATTTTGAGATATATGGAAAAATAGGCCCTTGGTTAACGTTAGCAGAAGATCTATGGGTTCGCTTCACATTTCTATTGTTTACTTGAGTTAAATTTTATTTAACATGAAGTGTGCATTAACCATATGAAGATTTTTGGTTATGATTTGGAATTCTCTCTTAAGAGTTCTTAGAAGAGAATAGACTGTTATAGAGCTAATCATAATATACACTATAGAAACATTTATTACTGTATTTATACATGTATATTATACATTCATATTATTGTACTTATATATATTAATTTATTTCAGTTTTTATGATGAACTGTTAGCTCATGGCATTTTGAAGCCTCTGACCTCTCCTATTGAAGGAATGATGATGAAAGAAGGAGACTGTAACTTTGTGGCACCTCAAGGAATTTCTTCAGTTGTTAAGCACTACTTAAAACAATCAGGTGAAAATAGAATTTTCTCTGATTTCTTTTAAAATAGCATTTAAAAATAAAAGTTATACATGTAATTAAATGTACCATATAGAACATTTCATACCATGTAGAACATTTCAAAAAGTACATATTCTCAGGGGCCGGGGATTTAGCTTAGTGGTTCCGGTGTGGGAGATTGTTTTGGTTTTTGCTTATATAAACATTGCACTGTGTCAATCTTGGCATACTTTTGTGAGTACATCTGTAAGATCAAATCGTATCAAAATAGTTATGACACAGTATGTACATTTTTTAACTTAAGTAGGTTGTGCTACATATTTGTCTTAAAGAAAATCTCATCACATGGGAATGAGAATGTCTCTTTACCTTATGTAGGTGTTAGGGAAATTTATAGTTTTTGGAAATGTCATAGGTTAAAAATTATATTTGTTTGTATTTTCTTAGTTATGAATTTATGAGTCTTTTGTTAACCAGCTCTTTGTATTTTTTCTATAAATGTCTTGTTCATAATCTTTGTGCAATTTCATTTGTTCCTTGTATATTTTATGAGTATTTTTAAAATGGGCTTTTTAAAACAAGAAAATAGTACTACTTGTAGCTGATAGGTGATTTGTTTTTAAAAACAGAATAAGCGTTCTTGACAAATCATAATTCAGTTAATTACCCAACTCAAGACCACTGAGCAAAGGTGTAGGCTGAGAATTTGTTTTGTTTCATAAGCTAGTTCTAGAATAATTGCTATTTTGGTCTTCCTTATCAAACATTAGTTATTGTGAAACCCAAGAATCCATTACTGGGCATGAGAGAGGTTGGTGAGATTGAATACACAACATCAAAATAAATACCATTCTGGGTTAGGCCATTTCTTCATCCAAGATTCTGTGATGTTTTCTTAGAATTCTCCAGAGAAATAGAACCAATAGGATATATAGTTAGTTTTCCAGATCCACCAATTTTATATCCACAGATGCAACCAATTACAGATCAAAAATACTAAAAAAAAAATCTCAGAACGTTCGAGAAGCAAAACTTGAATTTCCTATATACCAAATACGGTGTTGTATCCATGAGATTAAGAATGAAGTTATATGTAGGCACACCCTGTTGTACCCTTTCAAATTTCACAAATCCTAGAGAGTCTCTCTCTAGCGGTTGTTGTTTAGGCATTGTTTACCTTATTTCTCATCTGTGTGGTATGTAGTTAGGCCTATGGTGGTTGTATGTGTATTGAATATGTATAGCATTTTTTTCCTGGGATTTTTCCCTAAACAGTACAGTTTAACAACTATTTATATACCATTTACTTTGTATTAGATATTATAAATAATATAGAGATGATTTAAAGTATAAAGAAGATGTGTATAGATTATATGCAAATACTATGCCATTTTATATAAGAGACTTGATCATCCATGGATTTTAGTATGGGAAGTATTCTGGAACCAATCCTTGGCAGATACTAAGGTATGACTGCATGGATAGATGAATAGATACATATACATATATAGATATAGATATATACATAGAAAGATTGATCAATTTATCATAAAAAATGGTTCACATGATTACAGAGACTGGAAAGTCCCAATGTCTGAAGGGTGAGTCATCAGGCTTAATACTGGAGATCAGGAAAGCTGATGGTGTAGTTTTAGCCTAAAGGCTGGCAGGTTTGAGCCTCAAGAAGAGCCAATGTTTTAGTTATAGTATGAAGGCAGGAAAAAAGTCTATGACCCAGTTCAAAGCTATCAACCTGGAAATTCTCCTTTCTTCCTTCCTGTCTGTCTGTCTGTCTCTCTCTTTTTAAATTTTTTTTATTTTTTGTGGTACTGGGGATTGAACTCAGGACCTTGTTCTTACAAGGCAGGCCCAGTGCCATTGAGCTAAATCCCCAGCCCCTCCCCCCCTTTTTGGAGACAGGGTCTTGCTATGTAGTCAGATTGGTCTTGAACATGCTATGAGTCCAGACTGGTCTCCAGTGTACAATGATCCTCCTGCTTCAGCCTCCTGAGTGCTGGAATTACTGGCATGCACTACCACACCCAGCAAGAATTCTCCTTTCTAGTCCTATTTAGCCTTTTTACAGTTAGGATGAGGCCCACCCACATTAGGGAGGGCAATATGCTTTACTAAGATTTAAATATAATATCATCTCTAAAAAGTACTGTCACAGAAATACCCAGAACAGTGTTTTTACCAAATATATAGACAGTCTGTAGCTCATTTTATGTGTCATATTGACACATAAAATTAATCATCCCAGGTAATGACATCAATGAACATTTTGTGGAATGTTGCCATCAGCTTTATATAGTATCAGCGTATCAGTTTTAAAAATCTTATTTCTATTATGACTTTTACTTGACTCAAGTTAGATTGTATACTTATTGACGTCCTCAAGTATTTACTGTGTTATATAGGCATGATTGAATGCATGCATATGTTCATACATATATTTTTTCGTTCAGTGAACATTTATTGGATGCTTACTATATACCAGACATATTTTAGGTACCAGTGGTACAAGAACCAAAGTCCTGCCTTCTGGGGCGATTTTCTGGCAAACTACATTCCTTGAAAAATTTATACCTACTTCCTTATTTCTTAGGTATTTGGGTGAATAAGATGTGTTTTATCTTCTGATTTTGCTTTGGAAGTTATTGGGAGATTATATTTAATTTTTAGTAGCTCGTAAAACACTTGTACAGGATAGGTGAAATAATATGGGCTTTTTTTTTTTTTTGGTACTGGGGATTGAACTTCAGACCTTGTGCTTGTGAGGCACGTGGCAGAACCACTGAGCTAAATCCCTGGCCCGATATGGACTTTTAATATGTATAGTTTATATATACAGCTTATATGTACAGTAATACGTTGGTTCATGAACGCTTTTGTTCGAGAACAATTCAGTTCAAGAACAAAAGCATTCAGCAGAATTTTCCTTCTGTTAGCTAACTCCCAATTGGATAATGAACTTGACTGTGGCCATGTTTCTCATCCTGACACATGATCGTGGCTTCTTCTAATTGAGATTGTGGACAGACCTGTGCACACTTGCTGTGAAGCATTTTTGTGTTCTTTTTAACACATAAAGCCCTGTAGAGAATTATTCAATAGAGCATGGCTCCAAAGAAAGTGCACAACAAGCATGGTGGTAAAAAGAAAGTGCAGAGCAATAATAAAGGTGACAAGAACATTCAGAACAGTAATGTAAAGTAACCAGAATGTGCAGAGCAAAAATGAAGGTAACAATTAAGTGCAGAGCAAGAATGATAAGAAAAAGGTTTTGAAGAAGAAAATAACCATTGAATTGAAGAAGGAAACTGTAGAAAGGTGTGAGTGGTATTCATGTAACTGATCTGGCCTCTGAGTACAAGATGGTGAAGTTGACAATCTTGACTGTTTTGAAGAATAAAGATGCCATTGAAGGAGCTGATAAGGCAAAAGGAGTAACAATGTTAACCAAGCAGAGGACACAAGTGGTGGAAGATTTGGAAAAACTTTTTTTAGTGTGGTTGAATAAGAAACAGCTGGCAGGTGGTAGCATTATTGAAGCTATGATCTATGAAAAAGCCAGGAAAGCACATAATGATTTATTGCAAGAATATCCTTTTACAAGTGCCACAAGTGAAGAATTTAAAGCCAGAAGGGATGGTTTGATAAATTTCACAAGAGAAGTGGTGTCCACAGTGTGATAAGATATGGTGAGGCTTCCAGTTCTAACAAGGACACTGCAGAAGCCTATAAGAAAGAATTCATGAAATTCATCAAGGCAGAAGGATACATCGCTGGACACATGTTCAACTGCCATGAAACAGGGGTCTTTTGGGAGAACATGCTGAACAGAACCTCTGTCTCATAGGAGGAGAAGGCATTGCTGAGCATAAGCCCATGAAAGACCAATTGACCCTTTTGCTGTGTGTGAACTCAAAAGCTGATCTGAAAATTAAGCCACTACTGGTGCACCATTCCCAGACTCCTTATGCATTCAAGGAACAGAATGTGAACAAAGCCAGACTGCCTGCCTTGTGGTGGGCCAAGGTGAAGGCTTGGATCACAAGGCAATTGGTCATGGAATGTCTCCACAATGGTGTTCCTACCCACCATTAAGAAATATCTTTCTGACAACCATCTTCCTGAAAGGTGCCTTCTTCTCCAGACTTGGTGGACAGTATGGATGCTGAGTATGACTTCATAAAGGTCAAGTCCCCCCGCCCCCAACACAACACCTCTTCTGCGGCCCATGGACCAGCAAGTGATCTTTAACTTTAAGAAGCTGTACACAAAGATGCTCTTCACCAAGTGTTTTAATGTCACTGAAGAGATGTCCCTGACTCTTACAAGAGTTCTGGAAAAAACATTTCAATGTCCTCTATTGTATCAACCTCACTAACAAAGCCTGGGAAGATGTCACATACTGGATCTTTAACTCAGCCTCAGAAACTGTGGCCAGAATGTGTCACTGAACATGACTTTGAAGAGTCTGGTGCACAGGTAGTGGAGGAGATTGTGTCCGTGGACAAGAGTATGGGTCTGGCCATTGAAGGTGCAGACATAGAGGAGCTTGTTGAGGACTGTGTGGAAGAGCTGATGACAGAACTTGAACTCTAGCAGAGCAGCAGAAGGCACTTGTTAAAGAGCATTCCACCGAGGAAGAGGAAGACAGGGAAGAGGTTAAAAGTGAGGTGATAAAATCCATTATGGAAAAATGGAATGAGTGCCAGAATTTCTTTGAGAAGCACCACCCCAACATAATTGTAACGAACAGTGTTGCATCTGATGAACAATAATGTGGTCTCTCATTTTCGGAGGTTTATGCAGTGCAGGAAAAAACATGTGACATTAGACAGATTTTCCATCAAAATTGAGCCTGCAGCTAAGAGACAGAGGAGATGAAAACCCCGAAGGAAATCTCCCCGATGTCCTTGATGTCCTTATGGAGGGGGCTCTCCTTGCAAACAGTGTCCTCCTCTCCACCTACCTTCCTGTCCTCCACACCAGAAACTACCTCA